GTAGATGGCATAAACAACTACACCTGTCAATGCGAAAGAGGATTCACTGGATTTAACTGCGAGCAAGAGATTGACGAGTGCCTTTCGTTTCCTTGCATTAACGGTGATAGAACAGTTCCCCTTATTATCTCTTTACATTAATATCAGAGCTTTTACACATACAATCCTTGATGAAAAAAAAATGTTTATTTTGTGCGCTGTATTTCACCCTTGAAGTTAGTTTTAGTTATGTTCTCTTTTAGTCGGTAAGAAAATCATCGAAATGTTGTCTTTTTTTCGTTTTCAGCAGCCAATAGCATGATTTTTAAAAGGCTTGATTTGATTTTAAAATCGTAGAGGAACAATTTAGAGTTAATAAATTAAACGAAAAATCACTCGATCCTTAGCTTTACATACCCACTGCTGACGGCGCTAACGTATTGAGGGATCAACCCTTTTTGCGTGGTAAATCGACGTGCTCATGCTATAGAAAGTATGCTCTTTAAAGCAATCAGTCATCTTAACCTACTCGTTCAAACTTACTTTGCAAGGTACTTGCGTTGATAAAGTCGATGGGTTTGACTGTTTCTGCCAAGCAGGATTCAATGGCGTGCGATGCGATGTGGACATAGACGACTGTCTTCCAGTCTCGTGTGGCAATGGTAAGAATTGTTTACTCTAACATTTTTAAAACAATTAACAAATTAAACTTCGCCTTGAAAATAACACCCTATACTCGACTTCTCTCCTAGCCATTTAAATTCTAATGGGGGAAAGGGAGAAAAATCCGCGCTGAATTCAGACTTTTGTAATTAGAGAACATTTTCTACAGCCATATTTGAACTCTTNCGACTGTCTTCCAGTCTCGTGTGGCAATGGTAAGAATTGTTTACTCTACCTTTTCTAAACCAATTAATGAATTAAACATCGCCTTGAAAATACCACCCTCTACTCGACTTCTCTCCTAGCCATCTAAATTGTGAATGGGGGAGAGGGAGAAAAATCCGCGCTGAATTCAGACTTTTCTAATTGGAGAACATTTTCTACAGCCATATTTGAACTCTTTGACTTTTCCTATCAACCATGTTGAAACATGGTACTGATGTGACTTTTAACATGCATCCAGTTTTACATTATTGCTTCTGTAAAGGCCCATTTACATGACTTCCCCTTCCCCTTCCCGTCCAAGCCGGCAGGGTGTACCATTGGTTTCTGTTAAAACAAGGGAGCTAGGAAAAGAATGGTTACCACACCATCATGATCTTCTGTTCTTTAGGTTATAACTCATAGGATGGAAGCGTCCTCTCCAGTGTTTGAATAAATCCTTCTGTTGGGCAACGAAGGCTAATATCATTCAAGACCCATGTAAAGCACGGTCATAAGTCTATGGTCTGAAAATAAAGCAGGAAGATCTATATGACGAATTTCTTGTTCAATAACAATGAAATGTATTTTCTTCGGGTAAACCGCATTTAATCATTTTTTTTTTCCTATTCAGGGACGTGTATTGATCACGTCAACAACTACAGTTGTATATGTAACGCGGGCTTTACCGGTCCACACTGTGAAGTCCTCATTACACATTGCAGCAATGATTCCTGCTANGACGACTGTCTTCCAGTCTCGTGTGGCAATGGTAAGAATTGTTTACTCTAACATTTTTAAAACAATTAACAAATTAAACATCGCCTTGAAAATAACACCCTATACTAGACTTCTCTCCTAGCCATTTAAATTCTAATGGGGGAGAGGGAGAAAAATCCTGGCTGAATTCAGACTTTTGTAATTGGAGAACATTTTCTACAGCCATATTTGAACTCTTTGACTTTTCCCAGCAACCAAGTTGAAACATTGTACTGATGTGACTGTTACCATGCATCCAGTTTTTACATTATTGCTGCAGTAAAGGCCCAAAGGTACACGACTTTCCCTTCCCCTTCCCTTTCCCCTCCAAGCCGGCAGGGTGTACCATTTGTTTCTGTTAACACAAGAGAGCTAGGAAAAGAATGGTTACCACATCATCATAATCTTCTGTTCTTTAGGTTATAACTCATAGGATCGAAGCGTCCTCTCGGACGTGTGAATAAATCCTTCTTCTGGGCAGCGAAGGCTAATATTATTCAAGACCCATGTAAAGCACGGTCACAAGTCTATGATCTGAAAATAA